ATCCTCCAGGAGCAGCAAGGAGGCACCGAAATGTATCACCTACTCGTCGAACACCCCCAGGGCCCTCAGCCTGCGCGGGTGGGATCCCATCTCCCGCCTCTGTTTTGCTGAGGGTCCGCTGTATTGAAGGGGCTTGACTGGGCACAGTGCCTTCCAGCACTTCCCTCTGCGCCCACACCTGTACAATAGCGCTGTGACCAGGTATTGCTCGTCCAGCAACTCTTCGCTAGGCTAAGCCACGGCTGTGCCAAATCACAGCCTCCTGAAAGCCTAGCCAAGAGATAAATCTCTTAACGTACAGCTTGTAATAAAAAAAATACAGAGGTCTAAAAAGATGGAAAGATGCGTAATCAGAATGGCACTCGAAAGCATGATTATAATTACACCCATGATTAGGAAGGAAAGGAGAAGGAGGAAGACAGTGAGAATGCAACAAGAAATTTGATGGAAACTTCTTTAAAATAATTCCCAAACCGAGATAATCACAATATTGTTGCCATGCTACCAACACTTCCCAAGTGACAGTTTTTAATAAGTGAAGATTGAGTGGTTGGTCTCTTTGGGGTCTTTTTTTTTTTTTTTTTTTCCCTCCTCTGTGAAAAGCACTGTTCTTTTTCTGTGGCTTGAGAAAGAAAAAGGCAAGAGATCATAGAATAAAATGGTCTGCCTTGTCTGCTTAATTAAAGTATATTGTGCTGTCTTGTCCCATGAAGCCCATAATTTTAATTACTTTCTGTCAATATACATATTTTGGCGCTGTTGGTGTTAATAACACTAAACCAAGAGGTTTTCTTTTTTTTTTTTTTTAATATGGGAGAAGTGTTTCCTTTTATCTATGAAAATTTTAGATGTGGTAAGTACAGAAAAAAAAACCAACAAACTTAATCTCTTAGTCTCTTCTTGTCCATTAGATTTTATTATCAAGATTGACTCTCTGTTAGTAATCAATAGTGACATAATGACATGTAAGTATAGCTCTGTGCTCTGGAAAAACATAACTCTGTGGTTTGGAAAGATCCTTTCTAGTGGTTACAACTGAAACTGAAAAGACCTGTGTTTCTTTCTGTCATCTTGCTAATAATATATCTGTGATTTGGACCAACTCTCTTTACTTCTCTGAACTCCATTTTTTTCTATATAGAAAAGGAAGGGTGAGTGAATAAATAAAGATGCTTGAAATGAACCTGTAAGAATCAGATATGAATTGTTATCAATTGCCTAAAAAGAAACATTTCTCACGTGGAGTTTGTTTGGCTATTGTGCGTCCTGTTCTAGCTTTTATAAATTTGTGGGCAGAAGGAACACCAGCAGCTGGTTCCATATTCCACCACCAATCCACCTTACACTATAGAGAAATTAGGCTTTGGCTGGTGAAGATTACAGGCATAGATGCAGTATGTTCACTGTGTGAAACACAGCTAAAGTAAATGAGCAACTTAGTAAATGGGTGATTCCTCCATTGCCTTCAGATTCTGACACAGACAGCAGGCAGAGTCCCAGCTAGTACATATTTCCAGAATTCATCCCTGAGGAGAGTAAGGGTATGAACGGCTGGGTAGCATTCAGATCCAAGCAGAAGATGATCAGTTCTCACTGATGCCCACGACACAGAAGAGTTTTTAACTATCAGCACTGCCAATATCCATCTCTAGGGGCTGTTAGCCTGACTAAGAAATAGTGAATATGCTGCCAAGCCTTCATTTCCCCAGAATTTCAGCCTTTCTCTCCTTAATAAGGCAGTCATCATCTATGTCTGTAACCCTCTGTCACATGGAAAAGGTCAAAGACATAGAAATAAATATCTCAGTGCCATCAGAATACTGCAAATACAGCCTTCCTTCAGGGTAAAAATTACACACAATTTGCAGTATAACAGCTGAAAATGATGAAAGCACCTTCTTTGAAAGGATCATAGTTACCAGCCCATGATGGCCTTTGGTGTCTCTTGAGGATAATAAGAAGAAAGTATGCCATTGAATTACATTTAAGACCATAGTTCTATCAGTTCCTCATCACAGTCAACAACACAAATGGCAGCTGATTGATCTAAAATGCTCGGAATAAACATGCAAGTTAATCTCCACTTTAACTTCAGTGCAACCTGGGCACTATGTTTGGGCTAATGCCAAACTAGCTGGGGCAAAGCCCCAAGCACTCCAAGAACTGATGGATCTGTTCTCTTCTGCTCTTGCTATCCCACTTTCTCCGATAGCCAGAAGATATGAGTGATGACAAGAAAATCAGTGCATGATTTCTTTATCAGGTAGCTAACTAGTCACTTCTATCTTCCAAATCAGACTGGCCTAAGTGTTTACCTCTTAGCCTTTTCCAGTTAAAATGTTATATTTGTAAATTATTCACAGAAACCCAATAATTATCAGAGTCGGAGAGAGGAGATTTCTATTTGTAAAATGGGCTGCAGATTCACTGCAGCACAAAGCAACACCCTCTTGACAAGTCAAACAAACTAGATTAATGGGACTGTTAAGCATACACAATAATTTACTTCACTAGAGATTTGCAAATGCTTTGATGGATGTGAAGAACCCAACCCCTCACTTCTTTCATACTCCCAGTACTCATTTTCAAATTTTATTATGCCATAGTGAGAGACATTAGTGAGTACAGTGGCATTGAAACTTAGCAGGCATTTGTCTACCTCTATTAAAAGCAAACACTTTTCTATTACTGGCACAAACTGTGATTATATAAATATTTGTAAAAATGTTTTTCTTTATTATTAAAGGAAAAGAAAAAATGGGATGGATTTGTTTTAAACCCAAAAGATCTTCTCTTTATTTGGATACATTTGCAAAGATAAATATTTACAACAGACTACAAAGAAACTTGTTTATACAAAATGTGCAATTTAAAGATGCAAGTAAACATGAAACTTTTTTTTACAGTAATTCTATTTAATTTGTATTCTTGTAAGATAGATGGGTACAATTTGATTGCAGGCACAATCACACTGTGATATTTAATTCATATTTCTCTTTCAGTTGTAGCAAGTCTAATCATCCTACATTTGTCTGGGGCAACGAAAAAAGGAACAGGTATGTAAACTTCAGACATTTTTTTCTGACAGTATATTAGAGACCAAAGTATGGACTTGAGTTATTAGTTTAGTTTTTGGAAATTTTAGTGGCTCATTTACTTCCAGTATCTGTGCTTTGTCCATTTGTTTAGAGTATTTGCATGCCTCTACACACACAAAAAAACCCCAGTAGTACTGGGCAGACTCAATTTGACTGTAACTTAAGACTGTAAAGTGCTTCCGCTTTCAAACTGGGAAGTCTAGCTTGGGCACTGAGCTACATACACTTAAAATATTTTTGCTTGTTTGAAGTATAATTAAAAATCTAAAATTGGTTATTGTGGGTGCTTTTAGGCAGGGTGAGTAGAGAAAGATATTCTTAAAAGCCTTGGATGCTCTGTGTGATGAGACCCAAGCCGGATAATGCTGCTAAGCCCAGTGTATGTCTGAACCTGTGTCTGAATGCTCAGTCCTTGCAGGCCTGAATTCCTTTCAGGAAATTAGGCTCCATGTTGAACTCTGCCCAGATACAGACTAGGCAGAAAAACAAATGCTTGCAGACTATAAGTCAGAACTCAGGTGGTTAAAATCATCCTTGGAAGGTGCCTGTTTCCCTCCGTTGATTGTAAGAAGGAACCTTAAATACCTGACTTTATACATCAGGGGCTTAAGTTAGATGGGACACCTTTGGTCTTAGATACCTCATTTGGAGCAAAACCAATCTAGAACCTACTATCTTTCCTTTTAATAGCAACCTAGGTATATTTGTCCCTGAAGAATCTATCTCATTTTAGCCTACTTGTTAAAGTGTGGTGCCTAGGAAGGGTTCCTTCATCATCTTCAGCTTGAACAGATCCAAACCTTTGTCTCCAGTCTCTCTGTCAGTGTGTAGAAAGGAAGGCAAGCAATTCAGGGCTGGGAAGGAAACAAACAAGTAGGTCTGACTCTGCTCTCTGATGATTCACCTAGGAGGAGGAAAGTTCTTGGATGTGATTCCTGGCCTCAGAGCTATTTATTAATTTTACAGCAAACAGCAAAAATCTATGGAATCTATGAACTAGATTCCAGGAATTCTCCTGTCTACTTCTGTCCAGTGAATATAGAATAAAGACGTTACAGATTTTAAAACAACTTGTATACACCATCTTAATTCTCTGGGTTTTTTTCTTGCTTTTGTGACTCTTATGTATTCCTGTATTACGACATGAAGCTTGCTGATAGAGAACATGCTTGAGCTTTTTGAGATATATGAATGGGAAACTCATGTCTTCCATTTCTTGAGCATGTGCTTTCCCTACAGGTTATTATTTTAAAAACAATACATATATGTCTCCCCAAGATATCGAAGCCTCTTCTCTGCTTTGAAAAAAATGTTTCGAGTAAGAATTATATATTTGTACCCATAAAGAACAGCATTGTTTTCCCCCAGGTCCATGATCATACCCACTCTCAACAGAAAAAAGCTTGAGGCCACTGACAGAAGGAACTGTTTTATTTATCCTGTAAGAGACTTCTAAGTGTCACATAGACATAGTAATTTGTGAGCTAATTGTATAATGCTTAATGTCATCATTTCACAGAAAAGCAAACTGCTTCCGAAGGACAGAAACCAGTGCAGTGTGGAACTTGGACCAAATATGCAGAAGGAGGCATCTTCACTTCTCCAAATTACCCCAACAAGTATCCTCCGGACAGAGAGTGTGTCTACATTATAGAAGGTGACCAAATGGGGAATCTTTATATTTTATTACCAACTGTATTAAAAAAAAAGTTTTATTGTATGTGAAGAATAGATGAAGTTGTGGTAGATAAAGCTCATGATAAATCTTTTCAAGACAAAGATTTAGAGAAGCTCTTGATTTATATCTTGACATCACTCATAAATTAGTTCAGGTGGTAAGTATGCATGACTCAGTAATAAATACAGTACAATTTATTTCAGGATATTCAGAGAATGAGTAGAATCTAAAATGCAGTAACGTGATGGAAGAATATTTTAAAATGAGTAGGGAAAAAAATACTTTAGACTTTCATTCAGATATTCTAAACTTATCATAATAGAATCAGGGATGACAAGCACAGCTAGGCAAAGTACAGTGAAAGAAGTCGTACAGAAAATATCCATAAAGCGAGTGTAAAAATTATTTTCTGTCTAATGGTTGATGAGAAATGAAAATAAATGAAAAAAACTAAAAACACCTCACAAAATAAAACCAGAAAAGGTTTTAAAACCACCAAACAGGTCTAAGACACAGTTTTTAAAGAGTAATTTTTAATTGTAGGCATGGAGGTGATGTAAGAAATGCTAAAAATGTATTACAAAAAAACCCACATAATTTCATCAGTCTTAACACAATGGATGTTGAAAGGATTGTTGTAAAAATGAATCTGTGGAAAGTAATAATGATTAGATACTGTCAGAGAGCTTAGTAGCAGAAAAGGTGAATCAGGTACAGTATAGTAAGTAGTTGGAACCAAGAAGATTCTTTCATGAGTTTTGAGTACATGTAGAATATAACACTGATGTTGCTCTATCCCTGCTTGGTTTACAGAATTATTAATTGATTAATGATGGAACTAGGAATTACTGAAGTAGTTATTTTACTAAAGATTCAGGTAGTATCAAGAAAGATTTCCAAAGGTTAGAGCTGATTTAAATTGAATTAACTGTATTAGACCCACCTCTGCTATGCCCTTTCAGAAAGGCAAAAAATCACAACAAAATGACTGAATTCCAGTTTAGTGCTGGGTAACTTGACCTGAGTCAGAAGTAAAGAGATGATTATAAATAACGGAGCCAAACAAGGTCTTTAAAGAAAATTTATGTTTGTCAGTCTTCCCACAAGAGAATGAAACTTAAGCAGATGTATGGTAAATATTTAAATTCTTTCGTAGTTTAGTAATTGTTTTAAAATACAAATAAATTTTATAAAAAAAAGTAAATGTGGAGATCGAATATGTACAACTTGACTTTTTTGTTTATTTGTTTGTTTGTTTTGTTACACTTATGTTGCTAGATCCAGGATCTTTTGCATCTATTGATCAAATTATCTAACCTTCCTGGGGACTGGGAAGAACTAAGTTTGCTTTATCTTCAAATATCTGAAACACAGGGTGTTTCATCATTAAAGAGAAAGGGTGTAGAACAAAAAAAAGAACATTTTTGTAAACTTTAGTCCCATATCTCAATTGTAAGATGTTTCTCCTCATACGAAGAAGGTGCCTGAATCCCCGTCACTGTAAAGACTTTTGTCTTTATCATACAAATTGAGTACTTACAAAAATAGAGTTAATAAGCTGAAAGGTGGCAAAATACACTGTCAAAATAACCTGATTTTAAATAGCTAAAAATAGAAATGTCTAAGAACACTTTATGAAAGCAAGATTTAGTCAACCAAATTCTATAATGAAGACGAAATTCCACGTTGACAGGTTTGGAGCAATCTGTAGGAGAAAGAGTAATTCAAACTTAACAGGCGTCTTGTTATATTTCATGGGAAAACTCAATCTGGTAAAAAACAGTTGCATGCAATTTCTTATGATTCTGATATTTTCATCTTCCATCCAACCTAATGAACAATTTGGATTGCAACTGGACATTTTAAAACCTAAAATGAAAGCAGCTCTATCAGTACATAATTTGATGAGAATCATGGATATTGCACAACATTTTCAGCTCTAATCTCCCCATGTCTATTTCTGTCCTCTAAAAAAAATCTTGAATAGTTGTGTCTGGAAAATGTCACAAAAATGTCTGAGCAATAACGTTTTAAAATGTGGCAGATTTCAAAAAAAGGCAAAAGAAGCACTGAAAGTCAACAAAAATTATATTGTAATTACAATTAAATTACAAAAAAATCATTATTTGTCCATATTTATTCTTTATACAAAGTATAAAAATGGCAGAAAATGATAAGAAGGCTGGCAAGTATAAACTTTTCCCGATATCTTTTATATTCTGTGATAGTCATTGGAATAAGATATTGAAGTTAAAGGATTGCAAAAAAAGAAAGATTAATTATTTTACTTATAGCAATATCTTTGAGAACAGATAACAATTTTTGGAAATTGTGGATAATCCTGGCTCATGAAGGACGTAAGTATTTTAGAGTAAAACAGAAACATCACCATATGCATTTTATTTCTATATTTATTATTGAAATTCCAATATGCTTCAAATAGCTTCTGGGTGCTCTTGAATACCAAGTACCAAACTAGAGGGATTGTTGATGTGATCTGTAGTAGCATTGCTGCATTCCCATCTCCCCTTCGTATGTCTTAGAAAGTTCAGCATACCAGGACTGTATATATACCATGCTGAAAACTGTGTGTTGTGATTATAAATACATATATGAATCACTAGGTTCCTTCCTCACTCCTTCATTTTTTGCTGTCAAACACACTCTAGGGCAAATTCTGATGACTTCCTTCAAATGCAATTCCTACTGACTTTCGTGGTCTTAAGCAAAGATTCCAGCATGTAGCGTGTTGTAGAAAAATTGAATTTCATCTCGCGTTGCAACTTTTTTCCTCCACATTGTAGCTCCTCTTAAATGTATGCAAGCATTTTATCATGTCAGAATTACTTAGGTGAAGTAAAGGAGCTGGCAAAAGTAGCCATGATCATAGACTGAATTTCTGAAAACGAAGAGGATTTCTAACTGCAGGGACTTCTATCCTAGCAGACAAAGATTAAACAAATCAAACAGTTAGAAGTTTCTTAGATATTTTTTCTTTTTCTCTCTTTTTTTTTTTTTAACTTCTGTTTCAGTAGTAATGATAATTAACTATTGGAACAACTAGGAATTTTAAAGCCCAGGTTGAATGTCCTTCTAAGAGAAATCTTTTACGTCATCTAGAAATCATGGACTCTGTACCAAAATTGTTATGCTATAGAAGAATGTCATGAATGAGTGCAGAAGCTGTGAACAGTGCACTTGGTGGGGAAGGATGCACTATCACAAGGTGCTTCTGATGAATCTCATCTGCCTTTCAAAACACAATGAAAATTTGTTTTTTTTGTCATCTTCTTTCAGTCTTATTTGGTGTATAGAAAACATAGGAAATAGCTGAGTGTACACATTAAATTCCCTCTTCAGCCAAATTGCACCCTTATTTTGCATATTCATGACTCTAACCTGGCAAAATTCACAGCTGCCCAGAGCAATTGCAGCAGTGACAGCATTAGCCTTTGCCAGACTGCAGAACATTTGGCATGTGTGCTACAAATGGAAATTTGCACAGCAGACTTTGTAGGAGCAAAGGCTTTTGCTTGTGTTAAAAATATTTGGGGAGTGGTATAGTCATTCTTTATACATTATAACTTGAGAATTGCTTTGGAAATTCTGTAAGCAAAATATTTGTAAGATTTTATCAGTTCATTGGTTTTAAATAATTAAGCATTTATTTATAAATAGAGTTATGGACCAGAATTGATTTACATATAGATATGAAATAAATATTCCATTTTGCATGTTTGTGGACATTTAGAGCTAGCACTTTTGAAGGTCTTCCATGTTCTCACAAAAGACTATTAAACTCTTTAATCCTAGATGGTTCACAGGTGTTAGAAAACAGTCACGTTATCACCGTATGAAAAACATCTGCTCAAAGTTCTTTTGTATTTCACAATGATTTTTGTGTTCAAAGAGTTTTCATCAAAACAAGAAAAGAATCCTCTTTTAAAAGGAGGATATATGTGGCTTTCTTATCAATAATAGCAGGACAACCAGAAAGACCGAGGATTATTGAAAACTATTAGAAGGGCAGCAGCTCAGAGAGATGGGGGTAGGTGTTAAATTCAGTTTCTCATTTCCATGCAGTGCGGCAAATTGAAACAGATTTTTCACTTAACTTCAGCTGTCAGTTACACAGACTTAGAGGCTGATCAGAATTAAAACCTTAATTGTGTGGTTTTGCTGCAACTGTTCTACTGCAAGCTGGAATCCAATGACTTTTTTTTTTTCATTGGATGTAAAATCTCAAGACAGCACTTGTGTAAGATAATTAGATGAAAAATATGACAAGACATGAAAGCATTAAGTAGTCTTTCCTTGGTATTAAATATTTTTGAAGAAATATAATGGGAAGCTAAGTATGGAAGATTTTTGAGATTTGGAATAAAATCATTTTATGAGACAATTTCAATATGTTTCATTTGGAGTTGACAACAGCTTTTCCTGATGTCATAGCCACAGAAGGAGTTCTGAAAATGTGAATGGGCTTTACCTGTGAGTAAGGATACCAGAAATGGCCACTCCATCCTGCCTTTTCTGATTAGATGGCCAGATGCCAATCCAGTCTGGGAGATTTGCATATTCCAGATTTTTTTGTTTTTTGTTTTGTTTTTCTATAGGTACACACACATTATTATTAATCATTATTCTGAACTTGTTCTGACTTTATTTCTGTAAGTTTTACTGTGACCACATATGCCCAACTTTGTTGCAAAAGTTGTGGCACAAGATGTGCATTGATACAATATCTACTTGTTTTAGCTCGTGTTTGACAAAGAAATCCTTAGTTATATCCAGAGTATAAATCTGAAATTATACCTTTTTTTGCTAAAAGGAAGCTAAAGATGAGAGTTTGAGTTATGTGATTTCATCCTTTATGGTCATTTCTAGAACGATTTGATTCATTTTGTATCTTCTGTAGGTTATTGCAAACAAATAATTTAACTGTTAACTAAATGTTAAGATGAAGCACAGAGGTGCATTCAAAAGCATGTAATGAAAAGGTGCACGGATGTGTGTATTGCACCCCACAGTTACATACAATTAGAGAAACATGAAGTGTTGCATTCGTCAGGAGAGTCAGGCAAAAGGAGTTTTAGATTAGTCCTGTTTGGATTAGCTTGCAGAGCAGGCTGTGCCATGGGCAGTTACCTATACTAGTGCTTGAAACAGGTCTGGATATGCTTACTGGCCTTAAGGCCCATAGGCACAATTGTACATGTACATTTCAACTCCTTTTACCTTCCAAGTTAAGAGTACAGATACAAACTACTTAGAGTGAGTGATCCTTGACTGATGCGAGCCACCACATCATGCCTAAGAATGCGGTTTGGCAGCTCCTACTGGCACAGCCAAAGTGATGCTAGAATGTGACTTTAACATTTAAGGAGTGTGAACATCCAGTGGTCCAGCCCCCAAATTCAATTCCTAGCCTTGTTTAACAATGGAGAAGTGGTGCTAATGAGTATTCAATGCTCCTTTCTTAGAGTGAAGTAGCCTCTACTGATGAGAGCTTTGGGGAAAACCGAAAACTCTTGAGCCCTCCTTGAGCTGATATGATTATCTTTGATCCTGTAGCAAGATCTGAGCTTCACTAGGAAAATCCTCATCTTCACTTTGTTGAAAAATAAATAAAAACAGAGAAGTGTAAACTATAGCAATATTCTGATTGTAAAAGTAGTCTGCAGTGTGAGATTCAGAGCACTACACTTTGTGGAAATTGTGCTTTTTCTCAGATTGTACATTCACCTAGTCAATAGATCTTGTGTGTAACTGTCTCATTTACCCCCAATGACTCCTTTTATATTATGCTGAAGGTATAATTGGCTCTTTTTCAACACCAAAAATCACATCAAATGACTAAGCTACAACTCAGAAGGGGCCTCATGCCCATTTTTAATGTATGTTACATGAGTCAGATTCAGAGAAGACCTACTATGGGTTTAACTATGGGCCAGCATTTGTACAAAATAAGGCCGTGAAAAAGAGAAAGTTTATAAAGGGCAAGTAGATTATAATAACGTCATAAACCATTTTTGAAGCAGGTGTCTCTTCGTGGCTGTGGAAAGCAGAGCAGCCATTCACTGGCTATGATGCCAGTGACACTCACAGTTGTAGCAGAGTTAATCTTCATATCTAGTTTGTGATGTTAAAACATTACAATAAAGCTTTAGGTAGGTTAATAGCATAACATTGGCCTAATGTGCATTTAAGATTTTCAAGCCATAATGAGCATTCTTAAGATTACCTAAAGCATTGTAAGTATGGAGTTTCTGATGCCTAACTCTACTGTCCTTAGGTGAATGATGAACACTTCTCAACAAATCTCCTTAAATGAAATAAGAACATGAAAAATATACCAGATTGAAAGGTGCTGATTGCTCCCTTCTGCCCTAGTATTACTTAGTTTAATTTAAATCAATATTTGTTATAAAAATGTGAAGTCAAAGATAGAAACATCTGAATAACATTAATCGATGAAGTCTTCCAGGTATTCAATCTTTTACTATAATCAAAAAATATCTACTTTGGTCTTCAAACCTCACCAAGGATAAAATTAGTATGATCTTCTTCACAAGCTTTAATATCTGATTTTATTGTCATAAATTTTTTCCATACTTTCAAAGTGGTTTCTTTTACATGGTCTGTGAATTTAGTGCAATTATTTGAAAAGCTTTATGTATTGCTTTGGTTTTGAATTTGTATGGGCACAAAGATCACAAATTTCCTGCAAATTGGTATAAATAAAAAGTCAGTATTAAGTACTTCCCTAAATGTGAATTTCTTCAAATTGAGAACAGTAAAAAAGGTTTATGTCTTATGTTAAATTAAATGTTTCAGTAAATATCAATCACTCAATATTAACATTGTAAGCAAAGCTGTTAAAATGTTTTTTTTCCAAATAATGTATTTTATTGACTTACTACTTAAATGCTTCTTGTCAAAAGACGCTGCATTTATTTATGTGAAATACTTGTAAAAGGGTTCTGACTGTGTGCTTTTATGTAAAGATTTCAAGATTTACCTGATATCTTCTTCTTATTCTGTTAATTTTAAATAGTCTCTCTTTTTATGTCAGTAATGAGTTTGTACCAAAAACTCCAATTTCAAACATTTCAAAATCCAAACAAGATCTAAGTTCTGGTCATGTTAACAGTTTTGTATTAATCTTGAGGAAAGAAATGGAGAGATACTGACTTGCTGGAGTGAGAGCAGTTTCCATATTAAGCTTATGCACCTGGCTTGGACTTTGATATTGTGTGTTTTTGTGTGAAAAGAATGGTAACTCAGGCAAAGCTCATAGCAATTCCAACCTCTTCCAAGATGATCCCATGAGAGGCATAGCGGGCAATGACACAACAAATCTTTGCTTTAGCAGAAGGCTTTGTCAGCAAAAAACTCTAACACATCGTGGTCTAGACACTGAAGGCATACAGTTTTTGCTATGGAAGGATTTAAGCATAGGAAATAGTGCACCTAGGGAGGCTGCATCTGTTAAAATTTGTAGACCAAACCATGATATTTTTTTCTCCTTTTAAGAAAATACTATAGTTCTACCAGTAACTTTTTTGCTTTATGCAGGAGATGCCAGGGAATATTTGTTTTATAGATCATTCTGATTGTCACTGGACTTAGTACCTAACGTAAAGGATGGAACTTTTTCATGTCTAATTAAGTGACCACTATATAGTTCCTTCAAGGTTTTCAGTATATCATTTACTCTTTAGCTATCGTCCTTATCTGGTTTTTTCTTAAGTGAGAATTCACTCCATTTGTCCTTATGTTTCAAATGAGATGATGAGTTATTCTCAGTATAAGCAATTACACTCCAGTTTGTCATTGACTGCAATACATATGGGAGTATAATCTGCCCTTACTGTAGCACAATTACGATCAGCTTGTTCTTCATTGTCTTTGTGAGCTATAAGTATAAAAAGGCATTCTGATGAACACCCTTCCCCCAAATATAAGGAAAAAGTCTTTTACCAAATCTGCAAGTTTCTTAAAAAGATTTTGTGTTTGAACCAATTATTCCTAACTATATTTTGCTTTGTATCATAGATATCTCTCTTATCTTTGCTAAGCACTGCTGTCAAGGGCACTTTTTTAAAGGAAAACAATAGACAAGTAATTTGACAGTGTGGAATCTATAAAAATATAGATGTACTAATTTTCAAACAAGTTTTTAAGCAAAATGTTAAGAAGCATACAAAATTGATATATTTGATTTTCTTTAGTTTGCTTTAGTTTTGAAGAGTTTGGGTTAGAAAATAATATGATAATTTTCTTTTCATCTCTAGCTGCTCCTAGACAATGCATTGAACTACACTTTGATGAAAAATATTCCATAGAGCCTTCTTGGGAGTGTAAATTTGACCATATTGAAGTACGAGATGGACCTTTTGGCTTTTCCCCAATCATTGGACGTTTCTGTGGACAGCAAAATCCACCTATGATAAAATCCAGTGGCAGATTCCTGTGGATTAAATTTTTTGCTGATGGTGAACTAGAATCTATTGGGTTTTCTGCTCGGTACAACTTTACCCCTGGTGAGTACACATCATCACACTTTTTAATAGAAAAAGCTTAACATAGTAACTTTTCCACTGGTGTATAATCATGCTGTTGAACAATATCTTCAACTGAGACTATTTTTATTATCAAGGAAAGTATTAATAGATAGGATGCTGATAGAAGGCATATGTATCTTTAACATAAAAGTAAGGCTTTTTCAAGGAAGTAATTTTCAGACTGCAGTTTTTGAAAGTATTGTTTTCAATTGAATTCTATTACAGAGAAACATTCAAAATGTTTTGTGGGAGGTTCTGTGTTTTATACTTGATTGTTACACTGTACACCTTTTCTTTCAAAAAAATCATTGATAAAGTATTCTAGTAAAAAAATGTAATTATGTCAGAAAATTCCATCATTGCTTTTCCACTTCACCAATCATTTCCCTAGACGAGGAGTGCAATAGTTCTCCCTTCTCACTAAAGCAAACTATTACAAGTATTACCAGAGGAAGTGTGAGATAAATATAGTAATATATATTAAATATTTTTCTAAAAAGACTGTAAATATTAATCGTAATTACACACTTATTCCTTGTCACTTTTTAAATTAATTCATTAAAGTAAAAGAAAATTCATATTCATACTTTCGATTAATTCCCTTACTCTCCCACTTATCAGAAAAAGATTGCTGATTTAAAATTTCTTTTTTGGCTGCAGCTACACTATACTGCACTGCACTGCACTGCTGGATTTGACGTAGTTCTCTACCTTCTTATGTATTGAGTGATGAGTCATACTTTAATATAGCACGGTCTAAAGCACTATAATTTTTATGTCATTTTGTCAATTATGTCACTATTGTTTCAGCTAAATTGTTGTATTAGGTCAAACAATATTCTTTAGAATATCTCCTAAAATTATCAGACCTGAAATTCTTCTTCCTTAATTATTCCAGGGACATCATAGATGATGGCAGGACTTTTTGCTCTATGTGGCTCCTTTATGTGGTTTTCTTAATAGTTATAGAATTAACCAGCATAGCTCAGTTTTCTTTCAAGTCAAGGATACTGTTTTGCAGAGGGTAAACCTATTCAGAAGGTTCAAACAGCAATAGAACACAGAATTTCTTCAGCAAATAACCTGAGAGTTGTATCCATGTATCTATTATTGTAAATTCAAAGACAATGGACAAAATTTTGCATATTCACTCTGAAAAGTGAATTAAATTTTTATCTCTCATTTACCATGGATCTGTGGACTTTTGCCATTTCCCCACCCTCTGCCAAAAGTTCTTTGCTTTACGTTTCTTGTCCTTCTTGTTTCAAAGGGTTACGCATTATAGTTGAAAAAATGTTCATAGCACTACCTGCAGCTTATTCTGTCTAAAAAACTCTCAGGTAAAAGACAATTTCATGGATCATGTTTTATCCTTGTTGTTTTTCTATTGATGTAAGGAGAATTTCTATGCAGAGATCAATGCTGGTAAATTGTTACAGCAACATAAATTATTCTAGACTTCAAATGGAATAGCTATCTTTTTTCTTTCTTCTTTCTTTTCCCCCCCCCTCCATATATTTCAATAGAAAACTCTGCAAATAATGGAGGATTTCTAGGAATACTGGCCAAAATGAGAATATGATTAATCTGACAAATGCAAAACAGCACTGCTGCCTTCTTGATCACTGGTAACAAGAAGCAGTTCACATTGAACATGATTACTTGAACAGTCTTTTATTATGTAGGCATGGATAAGGCATGACCTTTTGAGATCTATTGTCCAAATGTGTGCAGTGGGAGGGGTCACTCTCAATTCATAAAAATGAAGTATGGTTTTCAAGAGTGTATAAGAGTACCACAGGGAGGACTCCACTACAGAATTATCACTTAAACCACCCTAGATCCATCTTAGGTAGTGAAAACTTATGAAATTAAATTATGAATACAAAAGAAAATTTTTGCCTAACCTCTCTTTAAAGAACATGAAAATGATCCAAAGCAAAAACTCATTTAGAAACTTTTGCTGTCTAGAACAGCTGAACACTCAGGGGAGATAGGTTACCACCCATCTCACTTGTCGAAAGCAGGACACACTGCCTATCTGCAGTCTGCATAGGAGGCTTTCTTTATCCCAGTGACAAGTGCAACAGAGCTATTTCTCCAGTACCAACAAACTTTGAGGGTCCCCACCCACCCATGAAGTGTTTCTCATCTGCCACTTTTGCATTTGATGTCTTGATGGAGGCTCTGGTTTGATTATAAAGAGATGTGATGTTAAACGTGTGGGTGTGTGGCAAGATTTAAAAAAAAACCAAAAAACCACTAAGTAAATTTGACTAAATTGAAGCTGCAACCATTTATTGTTATTTGAATGGTACCTGGAGAAACAGGGAAAGAAATTATTTACTATGTCTCCAGGGTGTATAAAAACAGCTAACTGGATGAAGTTGAAAATAAGATCAATTAAGGTATCATGAAAAATCTTGCACTGAAGATCTATTAGTCCGTGCAAATGGAAACAACCCTGCACCCAAGGCATTTTAAAACTAGTTTGGATTAAGTCTTACAAAAAGAAATTATATAGAAAAATCCTAAGGAATAGACTAGTATTTTGCAATTACTAGAACTTTTCAATAATTTCTTTGACTCCTTGGTATTGAAATGGTCAGAAATCCATCCACTGATGCAAAAGTCTAGTAGGGACTGGAGTTTTAGGCATTTTGAAACTAATGCAACCCTTTTGTCATAAATTCTGTTCCATTTAAATAGACTTTTTTCAGAGCTCTTTTCAGCAGTCTAAGAGGTGAGATCTAGCAGAAGAAAAAACTTTAATGACAAAATCAGAGCTACACACAAAACCAATACAAACACACCCAGTAAGTGGTAAAACTACCAACAATTTTTCAAAAACAAGGTTGTTATTAAGAGAATAATTTAGGCTTTAATTTTTGTGATTTTATAAAGTATGGGGTTAAGCAAGGTGTGGATGAATGAAGCTGTATGTATGGTTTAAAGATAGACTATTTTCAATGTCAAATTCTGAGTTAAGGGAAAAAGTAGTCATCTTCTTTTACATTATTACAGTTGAATACCAGTAATAATGAGATGAAATATGGATGTAAAGTACATTTTCAACCATTTTGTACACATTAGAGTTTATAAGCAAAACAAAACTTATTTACTGTTTATATACTATTTCAATTTTAGTTTTTATTTTTAAATTCTGATTAACTGTGACCATTTCAAAATAGAACTGTCTGAACCTATGAAACCTTCATAAATGTGTACAAACATTTTTGTTGGCTTTTTTTCTCAAATCTGATGTATTAAAAAAGTACATATCTGACTACAATATGTTTTATTTACTTTGTTTAATTTTGAATACAAATGTGAAAGACCCATGAGACAAGTCAAATGATAACTTATTCTTGCTCTTGCTTTGCCATTCTTTGGGCCATGGAAAGGCCTACACCTGAAATTTCATTTCACAGCTCTAGGTCCTTTGACTAAATCTGTTACACTCATTTTTCCTAAAAAAGTTATGTCTCAGGGCTCTTTTCCAAAATGATGTTGAATCACTGTTTTGTGTAGAAAAATTCAAGTACTACTTCAAAGGGACTTCTTATGACAACTATTATTTAAAATGAGTCAATTTTTTAGTGTAGACAAGGATTCAGACAGAGAGAGGCTATGTTTATTTGAGCTTTCTTACTCAGCTAGAATAATCAGATTTCTGTTTATCCTGGTCCCTGATTTTGCAGGACAGTGGCTTAAGATAGCACATCATTACTTTCAGTTCCTTCACTTAGTAGAAGCCATCTGTGTTTTTATTTAGCCTCATTGATATAAACGTCAGTCAGTAATGTTTTCTATTCAACTGCCTGATAATGGAAAAAGAAAAAAATATTTATGATCATATGTCCCAAAAAGTGGAGTATAAAACACTGTCTAATCAGAATAGCAGTATTTTACATTCCCATTGCAGTGAATGTGAGAGTAATAGAATAATTGCATCATCTATCTTGAGGGAAAAAAAATAAAAAACAGCTCAAATTCTTCCTGGTTGGGGAATTTGCATATTTTAAAACTCATGAAAAATTTAATGTGAATTTCTTAAATTGAATCACAGGTCTAAAGAGCTTAGATAAGAGATTGTCAAATCATTTTGCCATCTATTGCCTATGTCCTTCCTTGAATGTATTTAAGGAAGGGACATTTCCCAGTTGTCTGTGACAGGTGAACACTTGTGTGAGCTTGCTCAGTTGTTTGTTTTTATTTGATTATGTTCCTGTCCTCTTCCAAACTCGGTCTGATTGCTTCTAAGTTAGTATCAGCAATGACAATCACTTTTAACCAATTTGCAATCCAGTTAAGCTTTTGAGAACCAGCAAACAGTCTCAGAGCCATGTGGCTTTGAACGTGGCAATCTTTTTCCTTTGGGATCAGACTTGGTTTTAAAAATTAGGAGAAATTATTCATCATAACTCTTTATTTAAGCTTTTGAGCCAGAACCTTCTGATGTTATAAAAAACCTAAAAAGTGTGAATCTCTTTATTTATTGAGATAACTAGCCCTCAGCACTTCAAATTTTTATAAGCAACTTGCTTGACTTATCAACTTTTAGTGTGTTCATAAAAGTGCACTTCATAAAAGTCAGACCCTTCATTGCTGTTCACAAGGCATAAAGGCATCTGGTCTTGTGAGTGAGAAGGAATTTCTCACATGTAGGATCATGCATTGCATTGACAATCATGATTAGTTAAATAAATATTGTCTTTTCAAGGGAATTTCTTTTGTGTTGTGATGTCCTATACATTTCATTATCTTACAAGAACTGTAGGTCTAGGCCTAGAGTACTTCAGCATCATAAATACGAGAATGTAATGTGATAATATGTTTATTTTAAATTTCAAGTGAAAAATAGTTCCTTATGTGGAGCAAATGATTATCTAAAAGGTCTCATGGGATTCTCAGGTCCCGTATTACCTCTTGTTATCACATACTTATATTTTTCTTTTCACAATACCCAAAAGGTAACT